TCTGGAACACTGTCGGTAATGAGGGTTCAAACATTCCGCCTAAAATGTGACTGTAGGAGACTAGAGTATGCTTCCTGAAATATGACTCTTGAGCACGAGGGTTCTTTTGAGCTGATTCTTTTTTTCTGTTGGAAACAGCAGACACAGAAGATGCTCCGAAAACAAGGCAGTCATACCTTTGTCAGGGGAACTTACGTCTGCAGAGATCTCCATCTGTAAGGCTGGCTCCCCTCTGCACTTGGGAGAGTCTCTAAATTGCTGGAGACTCTCACAATGGAGAAGGCCCCGACTCAATCTGCATAACGCGGCTTACCCTTGTCTCAGGAACTTTTCCTCACCACCTCCCATGGCTGCCCCCACCCCTCACTTCTTGGTTCAGGGAATTGCAGTATTTATACCTGAAGTCGAAGACACTTGTTGAGATTTAGTCTTAGAGACTTTCCTCTTTGGGATTTCCCTATCTCCCAGGTGTGCAGGTTATTAGACATTTTGTTCATCTTCCTCTTATGAATCTGCCTTTTGCCACAGGAAGGCCCAACCAAGGACTATAAAGGGCAGAGAGGAAATTATTTTTCCTCCCCTTACACAGTCCTCAGGACAGGGGTCACCAACTCTCAGAGCCTTAAATAAACAGATTCAGGATCTATGGTTAAAAGTAGAGTTTATTTCAGCATAAGATTTGAGGAAGGCCACCTGGGAACACAGACTCCAAAGGATGGGAGTTAGTGCTCCAAAGTGGGGGAGTTTGGGGCTCATTTATGCAGATGAGGTCTGGGAAGTTTGCTGGGGTTTCAGCATGTTCCACACCAGGCTAGCACATAGTTATGCAGTCTGGTTAGTCAAGGTGGTATTCTTTTTGGAAAAGGTGTATTTAACATTCCACACTGGGGTCTTTTGTGCCATCTTGTCTGAGTTAGGTGCAAGATAATGTCAACCAAGCTACAATCCTAAGCTCCCTTATCAACCGAATGCACCCCCTCCTGACCAGAGAAACCTTAAAACTGAGTTCCCGGCCATGAAGAGAGGGGGGAATATCGGACGTGCCTCATTATACCCCCTCCCTTTTAGAGTTTAGACAAAACAATTGATCAGCATTAATGTTAAAACAGATCATAAGACTGACAAAACAGAGTCTTTGTGACAAAATGCTAAATTATTAACAGGACCTAAGGCCATGCAGGGCAAAGGTTAGATCACCTGCAGGCCATCAATCTACTTCGCAGATCACTTGACTCCATATATTGTAGCTTGTCTGTGATTAACAGACTATCTTAACTTAAAAATGTTCTAAACCTTTAGACAAAGATTTATTTCTTTAACCAATTATAAATCAAAGAATCTTTGAACCCATCTCTATCACCAATAAAACTCTCCTTTCTACTATGTAACTATCGTGGTGGTCTCTTAGATGACATAGTTTAATAAGAATGACATTTGGTTTTTGTCCCCAAACCCAGAGCTCCTAAAACCCTCAGAATTTCCCAAGAGATAGGAATAGCTTTAGTTATTCACAAGGCATCTCTTCCCATCACACCTGAGTCTAAGCTACTGAGATGACTCAGTTGGGGACCCCTAGATAGTCTCAGGAAGGGGCTGGTCACGGAAAGACCAAGAAATAAGAAGGTTGGAACTTTGCACTCCATACCCTACCCCACCTCCAGGAAGGGGAGAGAGGGCCGGAGATTACACTCTCCAAAAGCCCTCAAACTCATCAAATCTTGAACAATAAGATTTGATGATTTTCTGGGTTGGCAACGATTTTCTGGTTGACGTGCCCCAACTCCATGGGCACAGAAGCTCCTGCACTGGGGGACCCTTCTGGACTGGCTGTTCCTTTGTAATATCCTGTGTAATACACCCACAAACGTAAGTCAAGTGTTCCCTGAATTCTGCGAGCTGTCTCTTCTTAGAAGGGCACGGATCCATCCATGAGGGCTCCACTCTTGTGGCCTAATCACCTCCCAAAGGCCCCCGTTTTAAGGGGTTAGGATTTCAACATATGAATTTTGGGGGGACACAAACATTCAAACCGTAGCATTTTTATTTTCCTTTTTGAATCCTCAGTGCTTGAAACATGGAGAATCTTGTGAGGAAATGAAAAGATTTCTGAATAATCACCAATACTTGGAAGCAGCCCAGAGCTCGTTCAGTAAGTGAATGGATAAATAAACTGCAATACATCTAGACAATGAAATGTGATTCTGTTCTAAAAAGAAATGAGCTATCAAGCCATGAAAAGACACAAAGGAACATAAAATGCTTACTACTAAGTGAGAAAAGCCAATCTGAAAAGGCTACCTACTGTGTGATTCGACTACAGGACATTCTGGAAAAGGCAAAACTACGGAGACAGTGTTGGGAATATCAGCGGTTTCCAGGGGTTAGGAGGTAGGAGGAGAGAGGCAGAGCACGGGGGATTTTTAGGGCAATGAGACGCCTCTGCAGGACAGTATAATGGTGGATATGGGTCATTATACCTTTGTCCAAACCCATAGAATGCACACCACCAAGAGGGAACCCCAATGTAAGCTGTGGACTCTGGGTGACAGTGACGTGTCACTGTAGGTTCCTTGATTATAACGAATGGACTCCCCTGGCGGGGGGCGGGTGTTGATAATGGGGAAGCTGTGTGTGTAGGGGTCGGGCTATAGGGGAAATGTCTATTCCTTTCCACTCAATTTAGCTGTGTACCTAACTCTAATCTTAAAATATAAAGTCTTTGAAAAATTGGTCTATGGTATGGGAACCCCTCTGCCAGGCCATCCCTGAGGGGGAGGCCACAGCAGGCGTTCCTGGAGAGCCCTGTGCTGTGTTGGGACTGAGGGTGCTCCAGGGAGGCTGTGGGACATTCCTAGCTTGAGCAGCCCAGCAACTGGGGCACACCAGGAAGCTTCTAGAACTCAACTGGAGAGGCAGGAGGAATCTTAGGACCCTTCTATTGGCCTGACTGTCTGACCCTTCTTCAGGGATAGCCCTTGGTGAGCGGCCAGCCCCCAGTCGCAGGCTCCCCAGCAGGCATGAGCTGCCCTGTTCCCCGGGGCCATCCCGTGGTCTTTGCATAAGATGCTCGGTGACCCCCAGTCATAACCTGGGGGTTATGACTTCAACGTATGAATTTGGAGGCACAAAATGCAGCCTGTAACAGATGATGGACACCTGGAGCACCCACCATGTGCCATGCAAGGGTGTTCATCACTGTGTGACTTTCCTGTGGCAAAACCCTGAGCTGATAATCTGACGTGATCAGGCCCAGGGGCTCACGGTCCAGCTCAGGGCAGGTGTCCAGCCCCAGGCTGCAGACACAGACAGACACACATACACCCCTAGCCCTCCTGTGAATTTAATGTGATAGGCCAAGTTAACACATGACTCACTGGACTTCCACGGTAATCGGAGACAGGCTGGGTTAACACACACAACTAGCTGTACTTCTAGCTGAAAATAGGCCAAGGTGGTAACACACACAGCACTTGCTGGCCTCGTAACCTAACAATAAACAGCCCGAGCTCTAGCGTGTGCTCACAGGCACTCTCTCTCTCTTTCTCTCTCTCTCTCTCACACACACACACACACACACACACTCAGGCAGACTCGCGGTCCTCCTCCTAGAGCGAGGCCGAGCACCGCTGGCTGGCCCGACCTGACTGGGGAGGGGCTGGTATCCAGGAGGGTGTAGCCAGACCTCCAGCCTGACATAACTAGAGCTAGACTGACTGGCGAGACTCGATCCGCCAACCTCCTGACCTCCCTGAGTCAGGGAAGCGAGGGCAGCAGGAGTCCCCCAGTGAAGCCCAGGAACCCACGTGCTACAGCCCCTTTTATGACCAGGTGGTGGCTCTGAAAAGAGCCTTTGGGGTGGTGACTACTGGTGTCAGAGGGCGCACAAGGGGCCTAAGCCCGCTCCCCGCGAATGCGGCGTGCCAGCTGGATGTCCTTCGGCATGATGGTGACGCGCTTCGCGTGGATGGCGCACAGGTTGGTGTCCTCGAAGAGCCCCACGAGGTAGGCTTCGCACGCCTCCTGCAGTGCCATCACAGCCGAGCTCTGGAAGCGAAGGTCGGTCTTGAAGTCCTGCGCGATCTCTCGCACCAGCCGCTGGAACGGCAGCTTGCGGATCAGCAGCTCCGTGGACTTCTGGTAGCGGCGGATCTCACGCAGCGCCACCGTGCCGGGCCGGTAGCGGTGCGGCTTCTTCACGCCGCCTGTGGCCGGGGCACTCTTGCGAGCCACCTTGGTGGCCAGCTGCTTGCGCGGTGCCTTGCCGCCCGTCGACTTGCGCGCCGTCTGCTTGGTGCGAGCCATGCCGTCGAGTGTTACAGCTGCTATCGCTAGCTCTGCCTCTTCCTCAGTGCAGTCAAGCCTCCTGCGGTGCCTACTTTTATAGAGCCTACCGCGTTCCCATTGGCCCACCGCAGGGTGGCGTGATGGCAAGATACGCTCTGATTGGGTCCCGCTCTGACGCCTGCCCTTTATATTCTCTCCTGTTGGTTGTGGCACCACAGCTAGCGCCTGTGGAAGTGAACGTCATCGGACAGTCAGGGGTAGGACACGGCGGCGGGAGGGTACAGGCGCCCTCCTGTCCTCTCAACACTTCTCCTTCCTTCCTCCCGACCCTGGCTGGGGTGGGGAGAACCTTCCAGAAGCCAGCACTCCGCATTCCACCTTTACACGACGACCATGTTCAGTTTTCATGAGGAAAACAGCCGGGGTTAAAGGGATTCCCTCACGCTTAATGGCTCACAAAGAACCCCCTTCCCCATATGACTCAGATGAGACTTAGGATGCTGGAGGAGGAAAAAATATGCATTTCTGGCATATTAACTATTTTCAATTAAAGGCATTAAAAAATAAATGAGCCGGCAAATGCAAGAAGCTCACGTTGACCTTGTGATGTTTCTGAAAAGTAGGGGATGACATTCCCCCGTGGAAGATGTCCTCCTCATACTGGAAGGAAAGTAACGTTCTTGCCCTCCAGGACGGGAAGCAGGAGCTGCCCCCCCAAACCTGACGTTGGAACTCCATCCCCAGCGCTGGACGCGGGGCCTAGCGGGGTGTGGGGGTCCTGGAGGGGCAGCCCTCACCGTCCCAGCCCCCAGCCCCGCTGGAGCGGAGGCTGTCAGCGCGGGCGTCCGTGTCAGCCCCGCGGGAGTCGGGCTGCTTCTGTTGCTCAGGTAGCCACTGGCACCAGATGCTTTGCATTCCCTTAGGGTCCCGTTTTTGGCTCCCCTCCTGACTCCGGGCTTGCCTAAGAACTCCTCCACTTTGTCGGGAACCCACTGTTACTCTGCCGGAGCGCGGCCGGCGGGCGTGGTGGCCCTGTTAGGTCTGGAGGCGGGGAGCCAGGTGGCAAGGACGTGGCTAAGGGCGGAGAGCAGGCACCGAATGGTAGCTAGGAACCAAATTGAGGCTAGGAACTGTTCCCTGGTGGGTACATACATGGTAAAAAGTTCCTAGTAACCTAGAGCTCATTACCATCTAATTAGTATACTATGAGTGGAGCTTTGTGGAAAATTCTAGAAAAGGTGCTGTGCGCAGAAAGGGAAACTGTTATGTAAACTACCCTGTCGCTGCAACCTGTCTGGTAACACTCACCTGTCAATCACCCCCAAAGGCGGGAAACAGCAACCAATCCTGCCAGGGGGAAGGCGGGACGGACTCGTGGGGTCACAAAAGGCAACACGTGCTCAGCCTTCCCCTTTCTCCGTCCACTCCTGGGGTGTGACCTGTTCCACTCTCTCTGGAATGTGTCTTCCCTCCGTGTAGCTTCCTTTACTTTAATCCCTTTGTGAGATAAACTGTTTGTATGAAGTTGCTCTGTGTCTGTGATCACTCCGTCATGGGCTAAGTGGGTACCAGCACTCCAGGGGCCAGGGAACGTCCACACCGACAACCTAACAGCCGGTGTGGGCGACAGGAAACACTTCACAATGCTGTGATTGAATCTCAGCCTCTCACTGGGCCTGAGTCCCTGGGCTGTGACCTCCACAGGTGTGTCTCAGCTGTTTTTTCCCCTTTCCGTGTGACAAGTTAATTTTATGTTTTCATAACTTACTTCAGTATAACTGATTCCCTTGTAATTGGTTCTTTAAAAAAATTTTAATGTATTTAAAAACTTTCTGAGACAAAGTCTATGGGCTTCATCAAATTGCCAAAGGGTTTTTTATTTTTTTAATTTATTAACACCGTGAGGAATAGTTGTACATTTCCCTCTGTTGAAAAGCGCTGCGTGCCTGAGAGAAACCCAGCTTCGTCCTGCAGTGGGGAGTTGCCGGGCAGATTGGTATTTGGGTTCCGATTGGCTGACATCCTGTAGCTGTTTTAACCAATTGGAGAGCTGAACTGGAAGCAGCTGATTTACATGTGCACTCTAATCCAATCAGATGTTAGATTCGCTAAGCCCTCATTTGAATATAAGCCATATAAAAGGCCAGCTGCGTGGCTGGCCTTTGCAGGGAAGTGCGCTCTCTCCAGTTGAGGTCCGTTTCTAAACTTAGGAAGACTTGACCATCAGATGTGGTTTATGTTCGGAATGAACAGGGCCGGGTGACAGGCCCTGAGGTCACATATCTCCGGTCAAAAAGTGTGCAGCTCTCCACCAAGTTCCCCAGCTGCAAGGGAGCAGCTTATATGTCTGTAAAAGCTGGTTGGCTGAGTCTGCTCTTTTTGCAGGACTAAAGCTTGTGAGACACTCAGCTCAATTCCAGCTGCTGAGTTTGATGGAATTGGATGGAAGAAGATTGAATTCCTGTAGAGTTTGATGGAATAACCAATTACATCAATAGAAAGTATTTACTTGAGTTCCTTGTTTCACAAGTGCTATGGAAGCAAGCACATTACTTTAATTTTCTTTTTATTTCTGCTTTTTATTCTTTTTATTTCTTCTTTTTATTCCTTTGTGAACAAACCAAGTTATTTTTTGATAGTAGCCAGGGTTAGTTTCAATGAATTCTAGCTGGCAGAGGGGTTTCTCTTTTCTTTTCTTTCTTTCTTTCTTTCTTTCTTTCTTTCTTTCTTTCTTTCTTTCTTTCTTTCTTTCTTTCTGTCTGTCTGTCTGTCTGTCTTTCTTTCCTTTCTTTCTGTCTTTCTTTCTTTCATTTTTGTTTAGAGACCAGGTCTCACTCTGTCACTCAGGCAACATAGTGAGACTTCATCTCTACCAAAAAAAATTGAGAATTAGCTGGGTGTGGTGGTGCATGCCTGTAGTCCTAGCTACTCAGGAGGCTGAGGCAGGAGTGCTTCAGGCCAGGAGTTTAAAGTTATAGCAAGCTGTGATCAGGCCACTGCACTCCAGCCTGAGTGACAGAGCCAGACCCTGTCTCTAAAAAATAAATGGATAACTAAATATATGTTTCTAGTTTACCTAATTAGTATCTGAATTAGTCAGCTTTTGGTGGTATGCTCCCAAGAACAGGCAATCCCACTACCACAAAGAGGCCCTTCTTGCCAGTGGGTCTGTGGGTGGCTACAGGGTCCCCAAATGAGAGGAGGGCTCAGGTGTACTTCATTGCCCCTCTCATTTGGGGACCTCAAATGTAGGAGTTAGGCAATTGTATTCATCACACAGGAGTGAGGCAGAGTGATTATTCGCTGAATGACATCAAATCTAAGAGAGCCCAGATCTGTGTCACAAAAATACACTATTCTTTAATTCCACATGCAACATACATTACTCTCAAAAAGTATCGGGATATGCCACCCTAAAGCATGCCAGGTTAGCATAGGGATTATTTTGAGCTGAAGGCTATTGGGAAGAAGCAAATACAAAAAAATCTCCCTGCCTTCCCTCTGTTTGTCTAAAAGCAGGACAAAAATTTATGCAGGTGTACCCTCCTTTCTCTAGCAGGAAGGACACAAATTAATCATCTGAGATGACTCTAGACCCTTATCAGCCAGGAGACAAAAATTATATGTATTTATGGCGTGCAATGTGATGTTTTGAAATAGGTACGTATACATTGTGGAATGGCTAAATCAAGGTAATTAACACATGCATTACCTCGTATATTTATTTGTGGCAAGAACACTTAAAATATACTTTCCTAGAAATTTTCAAGTGTACAAGACATTGCTGTTAACTACAGTCACCGTGTTGTACAATAGATGTCTTGAACTTATTCCTCCCGTGTAATTGAAACTTTGACCCTTGGTCAACATCTCTTCGCTCCGCCTCCCCCCCCCAGCCCCTGGTAACCACCACTCTACTCTCTGCTTCCATGAGGTCAACTTCTTTAGGTTCCACGTAAGTGAGACCAGGTGGAATTCGTTTTTCTGTATTTGGCTTATTTCACTTAGCAGAATATCCTCTGGGTTCATCCCTGTTGTCTTGAATGACAGAAGTTCATTCCATTTTAGGGCTGACTAGTATTTCATTGTGCATATGTACCAGGTTTTCTTTTCCATTCACCCGACACTGGAAACTTGGGTTAACCCCATGTCTTGGCTATTGTGAATAGTGCTGCAGTGAAAGTGAGAGTGCAGGTATCTCTTCCCATGCTGATCTCATTTTCCTTTGGGCGGATATACGCAGCAGTGGGGTTGCTAGATCGCATGATAGCTCTAATTTTGTGAGGAACCTCCATGCTGTTTTCTGTAACAGATGTACACATTATCACACTGATTCTGAAGATTGAAATAAATGTATCTCCACAGGATAGAAACCCACATCATCATTTAAAAAGGGAACAGTGAACATAAGAGACAAAAATAGCCGATTCCCACCTCTTCAATTTTGTCTGTGATATTAATTTTCATTAAGAGCAACAGAAACTCCTTGGGGGTGTAGTTGAATTCATATCTTGAGTAAAAAATAAAATAAATAAAAACAAAACAAAAGACAAAATCCCATAATGCGTTTGAAATAGCCTTTTGCTGTCCGAAAGCAAAGATGCTTCCAACAATCACAGGCTATCTTAAAAGCATGAAACAGCCATTTATTTGAAAGGATCTGTCAAGGGCTGCGATGTGATCATTTGATTATCAAACACCAACAATAAAAATGCTTAATTAGAAAATGCTTCGTTTATAAAAAGGAGAAAAGTTAACACACACAATTACAATCCTAAAACAACAAAAGGATGGAAGATTGTGTCGCATTTTTATAGAATTTGGTAAAAAGGAGTGCGTTGACACAGGTGTTTCTTTATGCGTATGTCTGCTTATAAAGTTTAGCTGTGGGCGTGTCTGTATCTCTGAAGGGAGGAGCAGGAACAAAAACCAGAGCCCAGTGGCCCTCAGACAAACGCAATTGGGAAGGAATGGTCGGGCGGACAGCCGGGCTTTGCCCAGGCTGCGCGCCGAGGATGGGGGCGCTAGGGGTGTTCCACCGGTGCGCGCCCAGGAACAAAGGCGACCTGTCACCCCTCTCTGCCTAGCGCCCGGGGTTTTGGAAAGATCTGGCAAAGGGGAAAGAAAGCTTCACTTTCAGGAAGAATAAACTGCAGCCCTTGGGAAAACGCGATCCCGCGGGAAATCAGTGACTAACGTGTGTGAAATCAGGAGCGCGCCCGAGGGTCTGAACCGCGGG